CCACACATACACAAATTTTCAGGCTATTTTACCTATCATCTTTCATCAGTGTAACTGCTTTCATGGAAATGTTCACACCCTGAAGTGCAGTTCCCAAGTTTTATAGCACACAGAGCGTTCCCATTTTCAGTGCTGTCAGGTAATTTCTTCTAGCTCTGAAACCATTCTCATTTTAATTAACTTTGTTAGTAATAAATGCTTTGGGGGATTCAGGTAAGGGCAAAATACCAAGGTAATATACATAATATATCTAGATTCAACAAATGGAAAATTTGCATTTCCCTAAAAGTCCATAGCAGTAGTGAAGATGTGGAAATTGCTGGGATGCATTTACTATTGAACTGTATGAATTCAAACTTTCTGGGCTTTCCTAATCCCTGTTATCATCTCTATATTTCTTACAAATGATGTATATAAACCCACCGTGCCCTGTTGAAAGAAAGAACAACTTGAACTTTGGTGTCACAGAACAGGAGATGGGACTCTAAGGTGGCTAAGACAGAATTTTTCAGGGATTAGTTTTTGTCCTGGCAGGACATCAAGCAGGCAGATGCCTTGCACCATAGTAGAGGAGTTGCTACAGACTTGGTTGTTCTTCACTTTAAAGGCTGCTGTTAGGGGAACCTGCCCAGGTAAGTATTTGGAGAAAAGCTCCCTATTCTTTAAAGATACCTTGTCTAACTCTGCAGAGTAGTAAAATTAATTTTCTGTTGTCTTGTGAGGCTACCTACATGTCTGAACTGGAGATCTGGCTGGTATGAGATTGTCTCTCGGCTTCACAAGGGCCCACTATCTCCAGAAAGTACTGGATTACACCTCAGCCCCAGCCTGGGCTGCGGAGATGCCTTCAACACCCATCTTCTAGTCCTCAAATTCTCTTAAACAATTTTTAGAAACTTATAGATAGAAATGACAGCTGATATACTGGCAAGAAGAAAATCCAAATGTGAACACTGAATTTTGATTAAAAGCATCCCAGCATCAGCTCTGTGTGTGTTTTTTTCAAGTGACGTTCAAAAAATAAAAGTTATTAACTAAAATCTTTTACAGCATATGTTGGTGCTCCATGTAAAACCTTGCATGTCCCTCTGCTACAGCTGTTTCTGACACAACCTGGCAAAAACACCTGGTGGCAATTGCAATGTGTGTGTTTATAGGGCTCTGTGAACCACTGAGACTCCTTTGGCTGCCCTGGCATCTCACAGGAGGCTCTCAACTCCTTGGAGGCACTTGTTCCTGTCTACAAATCTCTTTGCAGTAACCTTAAAATGCCTCCAGTGTTCTGGGGGGCTCCAAGCAACTTTAATAATTTCCATTAGTAAGTTACTTCATTTAACATTGTAGTTTAGTTTGGAAACCATCTGCAAGTAATTCTTGTTTCGCTGTATCACCTTCTACCGGGCAGGCTGGAAATAGAAATAATTACATATACCAGAAGCCAACTTAGTCATGTAAAATGAAAAAAAAACCAAAAACATCAGCACCACCACCAGCAAAAAAACCATTATCCATTTTTTTCCCTTGTGGCCATTAAAATTAAGTTGAACAGATTCCATGACTTTTGAATGAACATGCACTCATTTCAAAAAAGAAATTTCCTGATTTTTGCCAAGTTTCCTTTTGTCTCATAGGAGCTGGCTTCAGCAGTTTAGCACAGTGACACAAGCTACATTCAACCATCTTGAAGTGACCTTCAGATAGAAAAACAACCAGTGGGTGTATGTGGAAGGAGGGGTCAGAAAGCGCTGGGATGGTTTGGAAGGAGAGGGACTGATAAATAAGGGAAGAATTGCAATGCAAACAGAGGAGATCTCCGGGAATAGTTTCAGTT